TCAGTATTGAATTCCCCTGTTTCTTTAATAGAGGAAATACGTCAGTTCAGTTTCTGTATTTATCCAATAATTCGACTTTTTTTTCTTGGTTACCTAATTAACGCAGATTGAAGTTTTGAGGTCATACTTTTTGAAAAACTTGGTGAAAACTGACTCTGGATTTAAATGGAAAGTGAACCTTGAAGCCATAGATGACAACCTCTCAGAGGTTATAAGTTTTCCAACACAATTTCCACACCAGAAGTTCAATGGAAGAGCTCTGTTTGTTGGAGGAAGCGAATCAGAATACATAAGGTACGTATGAAAAATCCGCGAACCTTGATTTGAAATAGGTAGTTGAACAACGCGCACTATTATTCATTAATTCTATTGCCTTCTTTTGTTTATTTGTAGCTGTTTTGTACTATTTCTTATTAACTGTTTCACGGTTCAAATAAAATCACTCTAAAGCCTACCAACAAATAATATTTTAAAGTAGAAATATATTTGAATTGCACTCTCATTTTTTATTGCATTGCATTGCCTTTGCTATGGAGATAATTACCGTGGGAGTGTTTCGATAAAACCCATTTCAAAAGCACTATATCTTGGTCTATCCCTGGGGCTTTTAGCACCTGATTTAGAAGGTCTCAAGTCAGGGTTTGCAAACCCTTTCTTGGTATACTACGGTGGAAATTCTAGTTAATGAACAGTGGCGGATTACGATCTTTAAGTATTAAATTTGGGGCGGGGGGGGGGGCCCCCAGCCAGTAAGAAGGAGGCCCGGCCTCCTCGAACTACGGGCATCAGTTTTTGCCCCGGGTACCCCGGGCCTCTGCCCGAGATCCGCCACTCAGAAGAACCCCAGTGGAGAATATCGTTCTTTATACTAAGGACTTTAAAGTCCTTACTATAAAGAACGATATTCTTCACCCCAGCGGTAGTAAAGCGTCTGGAAAAATTCACAGACTCTAGTGAATTTTCAGCTACGCAGCGGGGAAATGCGTCCCCCAAAAAGGAGGATTAATCCTAGGGGGAAATGGCATTAGTGTTAGATTTAATTCAGGTCACTAGTTGCACCTTAAATATATTCCTGAATGCAACCTCCTTCCCCAGGCTTTTTTCTTACACTTTGTTACCTTCAGTTGTAATTGTTATTCTATATTACTGATCCTGATGTACACAAAGATCCGGCTTTTCAGCCTCGCAGTTTTTTGTCCAAGTGGTCCTTGCAAGAATTGTTCGCTAAGCTGGAAGGGGCTCTGGGAACCAGGTTGTTTTGTATGCCACCTCGCTACTAATCAAAACTACCTCGAGCACGTTTAAGGGGTGTTAATTTTTTGCAGCGAAATCGCTGTTGGCGTAGAGACTGAATAGCAAAGCACCCACGGCGAGGTTCCGGGGGAACATTATTTTAAAAGAGTGGACCGTGGAGTATTTCATCCGAGGACCCACCACTGGGGCTGGGGAAAACTTCACCAAAAGGGTCCTAATATATTTAACGCAAAAAAGGGCCACTTGCACAATGACGTCATATTACTACTACCACCAGAATCCTTTAGAGTTTTCCATTCTTGTGCAAATCAGGGCTTTTGTTACTTAAACCTCGCTGGGATTTCCAAATATAAATATGAAAGGAAAACGAAAAGGATTCTGGTCGTGGTAGTAAAATGACGCCATCGTGCAAATGGCCTATTTCTGGTGTTTTATTTAGAGAATCAGATTATCCTACAATCTACAAGTTATTTCCCAGAGCTGACATCAAGTTTATACCTGACAGCAGGCACTGGCTTATTATTGAAAAACCGAAGGAATTTGCACAAACTGTGATGGAGTTCCTGGCAAAGGACACTGCGGATCACCAATTTTAACCTTCTTTATTGTAGTGTGTTATTTGTATCTTCGGTTAATGTTTTGAAAAGTTATTTTAATGTTTCACTCAATTTGGTGGCTGTTGCCACAGTTTGAATTTTGAAACGTTTCTTGACACAGCTCCTTGAAAAGGGATGCAAAATTATGACATACCAAAGTGATTGTCTCAGATCCTGAGAGGTCTTGTTCTTCAAATAAACCTGTGGGAGGGGCAGATAACAAACAAACGGACGTTGTGAGAAATAAGCCTGAGAAAACAGCCCACATTTCTAGACGCCACCACTGGTTTCACCAAGAGATCACGTGAAGAACCCTGAAGCGCAGTAATTCGATCCATACTGATGACGCTCAACTCGCAACCCAGATCTGAATAGTGCTTCTGATTGGTTGAAGCAAATGTCTAACCAATCAGAAGCACTACTTATGTCTGGGTAGCGATACATCATCAGCATGGAATTTCTACCTTCGTTCTTCAGACGTCATTTCGACGGAAAATTAGTGGTGGCATCGCGAAATGTCGACTGAAAGGATTGCGGTGACTCTGACCAAAGTCTTAGTCCAAAAGCCGTTTGCCGTCTACACTTAAACATGGTGCACTGTTTCAGGAAGGGAAAGGAGCAGGAAATATCTCATGTTTTTATTCATCAAAGTACAGAGGTTCATCCATAAGAATTATTTTCGCTAGTTTTCATCTCCCCTTTCCTAATTTGAGAAATTGTAAACTTAAATCCCGGGTTTGCCGTTAACGTCTCATAGACAGGTCAAGCATCACGTTTACGTCAAGCGGCAAACGCGAATTTATACCACGTGACCAAGCTGCCTCTTTACCTGTTGTTTACTGTTCATTATTTCTACACATAAATTAGTGGTTTCGCGCAATTTTTTAACCATAAGAATTGTTTGAGCTGTTTTTATCTGCTCAATTTTTATTTTGACAAATCTTCAACTTTTAATCTGACGGTTGCCGTTTCCGTACACGTGAAGCTTAAACTCTCTAATGCCAGAAGTTGTTATGTTGCTATAACAACTCCGATGTCAATACAACAACGTTCATTAAAAATGTCCATCTCAGATGTAATAATGCTGTAGTGTGGTAACCATTTTCGGATCTCCAAGTGCCAATATCAACATAGCCAAGACACAAACGTGGGAGGATTTGCCCCTTAGATGCAACCAACCCGTTTTGAAGCAACAATAAACTTTACAAATTTATAATCACGTATTCAAACCAGAGACAAAAAGCTACAAGATGATCGTTTGTATTAAACAAACATAACAGATCGGATTTACTTATACACCCATGCGTTTCCAAATAAGCACTCCAGGTTCTAAACAAACAAGCGGGGTATTTATATTCATGGTCTGCTTAATTTTGAAAATACATGTACTTATTAATTGCTCTGAAAACCAACCCTAGTCAATTGACATAGACAATTGTACGACATGCTATTGTCGCAGGATTTCATATATACTGAGCAAATTCAAATATTTTGTCAATAGCCTTGAATACAATATATTATTTCCTTAACAGGTGCTTTTTCTTCTTATAAAAAAACTCTCTGAATAATTCAGAGAAACGGACCAATTTTGAAATAATAGGAGCTATGCATGAAAGTATACGGTGGTTTCCGGTTGTTAGCTTAATGCGTGAGTCAAGCGTTTCGTTATTTTCGTTATACGGGAAGCCCATCTCCTTAAGACATCCTTAGTGTTAGCTTGAGTACCAACGAATCTTAAAGTGTTAAACAGATGGACAAGGTAAATTACGATGTGACCATAGTGATTTAGTCCGAGCCTACGTGAAGAGTAAATTTTGCAGTTATATGTTCAAAGAGTCGAGATCTTCATATACCCAGGAGGAACATTAGCACGATCACTATAAAATAACTGACAAAATATATTCTGATGTGAGCATACTGATTCAGGCCGAGTCTACAGGAACAGTACAGTACATTTTGTGGGTATAGGCGCAAGAGATCTGCATATAAATGGGAGGAACATTACCACGATCACTGAATTAACTGACGCAATATATCCTGTGATGTGACCATATTAATTCAGCTACGGGAGAGTAAAATTTTGCAGTTATAGCTTCAAAAAGATCTTCATATAACAGGGAACAACATGACCACGATCACAAAATTAACCGGCAATGGATTAAATAGCACTAACAGCAAAGCGGAAAATCTCTTCGGTTGTTCTGGGGCTTTTGCGAGTGAAATGCACAGTGAGTTAAAATTCCTATCAGTTTTCAACGCTATCCTTGCCACTGCTACAATTATGGGGAACACTTTCATTCTAATTTCCCTTCGCAAAGTATCTTCGATTCATCCGCCGACTAAACTCCTGATTCGAAATCTAGCAGCAACTGATCTTCTTGTTGGCCTCATATCAGAACCTCTGGCGATCGTTTATTGGACATCTTTAATCACCGAGCGCTGGGATATCTGTCATTACTCGTTTTTACTAGGATTGATAATAGGGTATGCTTTGTGTGGAGTGTCACTCTTTACATTGACAGCAATGAGCATCGACAGACTAATTGCTTTGTCCTTGGGGCTAAGATACAGGCAAATTGTAACTTTAAAGCGAACATCGGTTGTCGTAGCTACATTCTGGGTGGTGTGCCTGTGTTGGTCTGCTACTTTTCCGTACGTGAGGAGTTATCAAGCAGTCATATGGGCCAGCTTAATAAGTATTATTCTCTGTTTGATAATCTCGGTGTTATCGTACACAAGAATCTTCCTCGGTCTCCGTCACCAAGAAAATCAAGTCCATCAAATACAAGGTCCGACTCCTGAGGAACTACCCACCCAATTAAACATGGCGCGATACAAGAAAGCAGTGACCAGTGTGTTGTGGCTGCAGATGACCTTACTTATTTGTTATTTACCACATGGTGTACTAGCAGGTTTTTCGAGTCGCGGCCTTTCTCAGTCGATATCTTTTTTCAGGCAATTCACAGTGACACTGATTTTCCTTAACTCAACATTAAACCCAGTTCTTTATTGCTGGAAGCTTAAAGAGATAAGACAAGAAGTTAAAGAACTTTGGTTGCTAAAACATATCTGCAAGTGATCACACGGAAGATCGCTGGGTGGGTACTTACAGGGTCTGCAAAGGTATTCTCGGAACAGGGATTTCAGCGAACTGTAGTGCGGGATTCGTGAAAACGCAAGATTTCTTGACGGGATACGGGATTTGACCGCCACCCGGGAAGCCACGTGATTCACCGAAATCTTAGCCTGCGTAACAGTCGTTTCAGTTTCCTTTAAGCTAAGCGGGGCAAGAATCCAGGAACGAGAGACGCACAAGGGCATTGTGCTAAAAGGAGCAAAAAAAGTAGTAGCGGGGAGGAGAGGGGCGGGGAAGGAAAGGAAAGGAAAGGAAACGGCGTTTTCGGTTCCCCACCTCTCCCCGACTCATCTTAATTTTTGCTCCTTTCCGTCTTGCGCGTCTATTCTCCCGCTTGGCTTAACTGCTGCGCATGCTATCAAAATCTTGGCAAGAGATGCGGTATTGGGAACGAAAATGATATTCGGGAAAGATGTGACAGAAGTTTGGGATGCGGGATTGTCGTAAAACGCTAGAAGCAGGAATGCGGGTTCAGCACTCCCTCCCACCCGCCCTCTCCGCTTTCATCCTTTTTACATCAAAAACTTGGTTATTATCAAATGAATTGATAAAGACAATTTGCCACAGTATAAAAAAGGAAGTTGACGTTTTAAAACGCTAGACTTTCCTTACTCTGACAAGTAGCTACAAGGTCGGATAAAACTCTTGAGACATTTCCTTGTATCAGCTGCTTATACCGTAGATGATTTAATAGACGCCCGTAGCGTTTATTTAATTCTAGGGGTCCAAGAGGGGGCGTTAAATAGACTGGAGGCGTTTAACAGAGAAAGGGGTTTATTATCATAAGAAAACTAATATGCTATCGGTGAAAATATCAAGAGAGTTTATAATTAGCAGAATATCCAGTCCAGGCCATATTCATACGTCTAGGCCGTCAACGGAGACTACGAACGCGCCGAAGCAAAGGCCTTTTAGAGTGACGGACGGCAGCCGGAAGTGGACTTTTTGCGTTTTTGTCCAGATTTTCAGGCAACACAATTGTGATAGTGTCAAAGCATACGAAAAGGGAAAGAGTCTCCTTACTGTTTGAGGTCCGTCGCTAGAAAACACCTGTGCTTAGGCCAAGTAAAAAAAAACGTTTCTCGTCCCCGCCCGCTTCATTTTTTGGGGCCGCCTCTCTTTTTTTTATTATTTGTTATTAATAACGTTTTTACGAACAAAAACCAACAGGCGTTACTTTTACTTTGTACCCAGTTCTACTCAATTGACTACAAAGAAACTATATTAAAGCCGAAGAAGAAAATCACGAGAGCTTTCAGGCAGGCTAAATTATAGTCCTATTGATGTTCTAATGTACCCTTCCAATTGCGATGTATCGAATGATGCATCACCTTGTTGTTTAAAACATGTATCAAAATAAAACAAACTTGTGTTTAATCAATATCTGACGTTTCATTTTATTAATATTTGACTTAAGAACTCCAACTTATCCCTGGGGGAGGGTAATAACGTATCAAGAAATCATTTAATTGGAAATAATAGAAAGTCGGAAATAACAAAAAAAGCGTCCTACCGCTCTCTTTTTTTATAGAAATCCGGGCGAGAAACATTTGTTTTTTTTACTTTGCCTTTAAGTTCTTTATTAACTAAAAACTTCCCCAAAATAAGCGATCTTAAGGGACTGGGGTTGAGGCGTCCACAAAAAAAAAAGGAAGGGAGTAACAGGGGTGTTTGAAGAAACTTCTTCGAAAAACCTACAAAAGAGTAGTTTGCAGATCGGAGGAATTTGTTAAAACGATGATGATACATGAAGACATGAAGAATGAAGGAAGATAGAATCACGAGAACACACCGTGTACAAACACGCAGACTTGAGGACGTTAACAGTTGCGGATCCAGGGGAGGGGCCCGAACCTCCCCTTATCTTTAGACCAAACTAGGTCCCGAAGAGCCGAAAAAAAATTCTTTTGGGGACCGTCCCCACCCTCCCATCTCAGGGTCTGGATGGCCCCCCCCCCCCCCCCCCCCCCCCCCTACCCTCCAGACCACGGCCCCCCCCCGGTACAGCCCTCTTTTCTTGATTGTTTGCGACATAGATGCCGGCTCAAACAAAAAAAAACAACCCACAAAAAACATATAAAAAAAAAAAAACTCAAACCAAAAAACAAAACATTACCAAACAATCCCGTAAACACACAAAAAACAACAAACAACAACGCGGAGTTGAGGGAGATAACCGTTGGCGATCCAGGGGAGGGGCCCCAGATCCCCCTTATCTTTAGACCAAACTTGGGCCCTGAAAACCGGAAAAAAATTCTTTTGGGGCCCGCCCCCCCCCCCCCCCCCCAGGGTTGGGATGGCCCCCCCCCCCCCTCCCCCCGCCCCCGTTATCTGATGGTCTGGATCCGCCACTGGTTAACGCCTTATTTTCTGGATGTTGTGCAAAATGGATGCCGGCTAATAACAACAACATCAACTAATCAATAACATATTAACAAGAATAGCTTATCCGTAAATAACTAGCACTTGCTAACCGGCGCTGTTAAAACTGTTAAAAGATGAGATGAATTAAAAATAAAGTGTTAGTTAGTATTATTAGTAACGCATACAAATGAGGTTTTTGTAAGAAACATCCCGGAAGCAACATATATCTGTATTTAACTTACAAATTAGAAGGAATAAGTTGACATACACAAAAGAACGCCATCGAATATGTAAATTACGGAAACCCTTGGTAGACCGAAAGTGTTTTTTGCTACTTAAGAAAGGCGTACCATGTACAATGTAACGAGACGCGATAAAAAAAAGTATTCTTTGCCTACCAATTATAAGTAACAAATATAATTAACATAGTAAAAGACCTTCTAGGCTAAAATATTCTTTAATCTGTAGAGGCATGCAAGGCAAAATGATGTATAAAAGGAAAGCTGTCTGGCCGTCTGGCTAACAGTTTCGTTTGCGCGTCTTCGCTGTCTTACTTAAACCCCTTGCTCCGCTTCAGTAAAACGCGCTAAAATTCGGATATTTACAGACAAAATGCCCAGAATAAGCACATTAAACATCAACTTTGTTAGATTTGGGTCCTGTTATACCTTTCCGATAAAAAAAATAAGCTTCGGGTGAGGCCTTCAATAGACCCAAGAAGAAAACGAAAAGACCCTGGGGACAGCCCTTGGTTTGACGGGAAGGCTTGGCTTCTAAGGGGTTTGCTTTGATTACGTAACCTGGCCATCTTTTTGGAACGCCTTGCAATGATTTGTAAAATGAGATTCTTACGACTACAAAGATTGTTTCAATGCGTTTATAGAGACCGATTTACGAACAGAAGCTGTTATGAAAATTCTGTCCTTCCGTACAGTACTTTAACTGTAAGGTAAGTGAATGTCTTCGAGATTTAAGGTTCGTAATCGAATGTGTAAAGTTTTATTTCCCAACTTCCGCGTTGGTGCTCTGCTTTAGATCAGAAGTACGGTTAAAAGGAGCAGGATTTACTTGTATCATTACCCAAGGGGGCTACTTGGGTCAATGTTTGCTGGGTATGTGCCGTAGGCCTCTCAGAACCCCTACCCCATTAAAGTCAATTTATATACACCCCATCATCTTAGTCACTTCTGGACAAATGTAGTTTGCTTTCACGCCACCATCTGTTTATGCATCAACCTTA